GTGTCCCAAAGCTGCATGGCTACCTGCATATTGTCCAATGTTAATGTCTTCACACTGTAGTCAATACCTGATTTAAAAAACAACAATAACATATAATAACATATAATACATAATCGAACATAATATAAGGACACACTTCTCACATTTAATTTAGGCTTGATTTTACTTCTCGTTTTCACTACGGAGGAGCAATGATATAAATGGCCAGTAGGGGGATCTGGAATGAAGCCTGTGCTTCATTCCAGCAGAAAAAGGGGTGAGAAAGGTGGTGACAACAAGGCATAAAAGGAGGATTGGAAAAGATGAAAGCAAGGATAAAGAAAATTCATCCAAAGTGACATAATCTGTAGTACAATGAGTGCCAGGGCTCTTAGACAGGCAGTGTGACTTCACAAGCCCTTTCATGTGATGCTAAATCGCTCCCCGGTATTCAGGAAAGGCATCCACAGCCACACTCGCACACATGCCCTTCAGATCTGTTTAAAACGGGCCCTGAAACATCAATAAGATATGACTGCCTTTCTTCTTACCCACAGTAGCAGTTGTGGAAGGGTGGAAACGGCCCTCACAGAAGGAGCGCAGCAGGGATGTTTTCCCAACGCTGGAATTTCCAACCAGGACCACTTTAAACAGGCGGTCTGGGGCAAACAGTTCTTTCACCTTCTGTAGGCGAGCAATTAGAAAGACAGTTTCATTACCTCTCCAATAACTTATATAAAAGCATATATAAAAGTGGGGAGCCGTAAACACACCTGTGAGGTCTCCTTTCCCACAGGCTGTCCTCTTGGAGATACAGGTGGGGTCTTCTTCGATTGAGTAAAGTAGGATTTCCTTGCAGGAGGAGCTTCTTTTGACACTGAGATGTAACGTGGGGAAGCACTGAGGCCGCTCCTTCTGTCGTCTTCTTCCTCCTCATCCCTCTCGTCTTCCTCCTCGCTGAGCTGGTGCAGTAAGGGCTGAGATCCTCCTTGGAGCAGGTGGGGCAGGTGGTCCTCTTCTATGGAGATGACTCTGCGGAGGGGCCACCCGTCTGGCGGGGCATCTAACACCTCCTCCTCTTCTGCCACCTTCTTATCAATTTCGACTTTCTTTGATTTGTCTCTGCTTCTCCCCAACACCCTCTTGCTGGCGGCTATTTTGGTGGACAGCCTTTTGGCCTTTGTCTTCACGTCATGCACTTTAGGCAGAGCGGGGCTGATGTGACCGTTGGCTAAGCCAGAGTTCCTATTCGCTGAAGGCCTTTGTTGGCACACAGGGCTGCTAGCAGCTGTGGTGGAGGGAGCAGGGGTGGCAGTGGTGGTGTCATCTTCACTACAGGAGGAGGAAGCAACAAAAACGATTTGAAGGTGCTCTATAGGCAAGGCCTCCAGAGATAGGTAGGACCCATCCACCAACAGTGAGGCTCTTTGGGGACAGAGGAGAAACAGAGGATTTACTGGATCAATTCACTTGAGTTTTCTAATATTTCTAGTTGATAATTTGGCTATTTTTTGTGAGTATAAGGAATCAGACATCCTCTGTTTTTCCTCCTTTGATGCATGATTTTTACATCACATTTGTCATTGTTGCATAGGAAGCAATCTGACAGGGATGAATTCTGTTAAAAAGAGTACTTGAATGATGAATGAATCACCTTTTTGCTGGCTGGCTGCTGTCATCAAATATATTGCCGAGGCCCGCTCTCTGTTTCTGCTTCTTTCTGAGTGATGTTCGAGGCTTGTTTAAAAAAAGAAGGTGCATTACTCAACTATTCTAGTGCTGTAATCGAGTTAATGCAGTTACATAAAATACTATTCACTTACTACACCACAGCACAAGTCTCGCTCATCCTTTAAATGCTTGTTCATCTCTCTGGGAAGTTAAAGAAGGGATGTTAAAGAGTGTTTTGTGCTTTGCAAATCCTTGAACCTTGGAGTTTGTTTCATAGGGTTTGGCCAGTTAGGACTGAACCAGGAGCCAAAATGAGTAAAACAATAGTTGTGGTCAGAAACCTATATCCACTCAACATTGGCATGAATGATTGTACAACTTTTGGATTGTCTCCAGTCCACACAGGCTCAAAAGTGTGCATACAGGCTCATCAAAACCCAAGTTTGAAAAGTGCTGGGTGTTCTCATTATACCTGAGGAGGTCAAGCTGCTTCATTAGACTTTGCTTTTCCCTCTGCAGTCCTTCAGTTACTCGGTACATTTCCCTGAAACCAGACAGAAGAAACTTGCTTTTAAATAGCTACTCTATGGCATCTGTTTGCACACTGCAGGGAAACACAGTTAATACAAACAATGCTTATACGCACATTTCTTTCTCCCGTTGTAGCCGGGAGGCCTGTTCCTGCAGCATAGCCAGCTGTTCCTGGGCCAGCACCAGCTCCTGGCTGGTGCTCTCCAGCGCTCTGGACAACTCATTGTTGGTCATTTTCAGTTTGACGTTCTCTACGTGGCTCTCCTGCTTCTCACTGCTCAGCTCAGAGCACTGGTGCTCTAACTAAACAGGGAGATATTCACAGGAGTTATAATACACTAATGCTGGGTTAGTGTACTTAGGGGATATCTGCACAGGGAACAAAACAGTGAGGTTTGGTGTAAATCCTCTCTACACGACAGATGTAATGCCACAAGCCCACTATTCAGTAGTTACACATAACAAATGTTTTTACAGAGAGCTTAATTTTTTTTTGTCATGTTGTTACAATGGTGGATGTTTCTTATTAAACATGACCGCAGAATTTCTTTGGGATGCGTTGTCCATATTAACTTACCCGTTTCTGCTTCTGGAAAAGCTGCTCCAAATCTTTCTCCTTCGTAAGAAGCTGGTGCTCCAGGTCCTGGCTGCGCAACTGAAGCCGCTCAGAGTCCTGCAGGAGCAGAAGAAGAAAAGGTTCAACTTGCGGTTAAAAGAAAGTGCACAAAATTAGCTCGAAAGGTAAAAACACTGCTGTCAATACGATATAATCCTTAAGCAAAACTACGCTTACATCATTACTAGCGCTTGTTCTCTCTCTTTGAAAGACCCAGCATTTATGATAATGCAGAAAGTGGTCTTCCACTTTACTGAAATAACTGTCTAGTGGTTGAAGACTATCAGCTTCCATAAGGAACTGCTTTTTTTCCTTTTTACTTGTGTTCCATCCATTCGCTTCCGCTTATCCTTTTCAGGGT